GTTAGGAAGCTCGTGCCGGCCCGCCATCGCTTCCTCCACCTGACTCGATGGGGTCCCTATTTCGCTATCGCGAGAAAAAATGATGAATACAGAAAAAAAGAAACAAGACAGGCTATTTGTAAAGCGCATAATATCTTTCGTTCGAGCTCGTTATCGAAAACATCGAAGACTAATCTGTTCGATAAAATGAACGGACAGATAGATAAATATTGTAAGCGGACCACCTTTATTTTTGTACAGCTCGTTAGTCGGCGGGCGATGCCTGCATAAGCTCGTTCCGAAAAAAAAATCGCTTGATTCTGTATCTCAGCCTAGTTCAGAATGAGGAGCGGTGATCCGCCAAATCGCAGCTTTCGAGAATCTTCATAGAGGTTTCGAAATAAGGAGATCTCGCAAACGCATATCCGATTCTTCCAGACCAAGCCCACAATGGCCTCTCTTATTTTGCTCAAGGAGCTTCTCCTAGGATCTCGGTAGGAGAATGAAAATCTAGGCAATTCGGTGCAAACTCTCAATCGAAAAACTTGCGTGGCCAGACGTCCAGTCTGGAAGTTTTCTCTTGATATCCGGCTGCGTAGCCTGGGCCCTGAGTGAACACGATCCAATACGATATCGGAATTCTGATCTCTTCGGCTTGCCACCGGAGCCTTTAGTGCTGCAGATCGCGGAAACCTATCGAATGTTTCGTGATTTCACGCTTCCTCGGAGAAGGGGACCATCCTACAGCGTAGTGGGTCGATGCGGGTCCAGGGTTGCGTTCTGCTGAGCTCGATTTAGGAAACCTGACACGAACTTCTTGTGGTCTTCATAGATATCATTCTGGAGCGGATTCCGCAGCGACTCTCTCTAAATGTTTGAAAAGCCTACGGTTCACACAGACTTACCCGGTGAAATAGGCCAAATCTCGTGCATTGAGAAAATCGCACCTAATCCCAATAAAAAGCGACTTGTCCCATGGAATTCCGGGGCACGTGGAATCGTTGTCGTCGAGGTTATCCGACCTTGGAATGTATCCCACCCAAATTTCGAAGGAGGTCGACTTCGAGGAGACCGGACTGATTCTTGGAGGATGGAGACAGAAATGTAAGCTCGAGATTCCGGAACGTCCTCTCTCGAGCGAGTTGAGATACTTCGAGAATTCTCGGAGCAACATGGAATCCGACAGAATCGGATACGCGCGGCAGGATCGCGGCGCTCCTCGACATACCTCCCATCTCGGTCATCCCATATGGTCGACAGCCGGAGATATTCCCGATCCTCGGTTAATGGCCAGAAAGTTACGGTGTCACGGTCCTCTCCTCTATGGAACCCTCAAAAGCATACATCCCGTCTCCAACCTACCAGAGTCGAGGAGCATACATTGTTACCGAACTTGCTCAATCTTTCGTTTCCCTCAATCTTTCTCGATTTCTCTCGTCATTGATTCCAGGCAGAAAATGTCGGTCGTTGTAACATGTACTCCTATGCACGCGATTACGACGATTCGGGCCCCTCTGAAGTTCGTGACGCCACCCGGATACGCCGCGGAATTCACATTTTCGGCGTGTGTTCGTGACTCGTGGTTATTAATTTCGCTTTTAACTCCGAACTGAAGAACAACGTCCGATAAATCGAATTTACACGGACACAGAAAAAATGAAAATATACGCATACGCAAAAACTGAGATAGAATGAATCAACAAACAAAAGCAACGATACATTTCCAAGCTGATAAGGCGGAATCGATATCCCGAACATCGACCGAAGATCTTACGATGAATGCGTGTGTAAATCAGCAGCGATACTTTCCAAAAAGCGGAGACTCGTCGGCGGAGGCAACACGGAGTCTTCGGAAAATCCATTCAATGGGAATGTGCTTGCTCGCGCTCACGGACGCCGGGAGCCGAATCTATCACAGGTCCTCCGTGGTGAGTCGGAGGTCCAGGACCCGGGAGCTGGCTCGGTACCGGCCTCGGTCTGATGAGCTAGAGGTCCCGTTTGTCTGACCCTCGGATCTCGGATCCGCCATGCTACCCCCTCCAGCCACCCATGCGATCTCGGATGAACCTGTCCGAGGTCCGGTCATAACTCGCGATGGGTCAGAAGAGACGGGAAAGTGCACAAGGAAAGACAAGGGAAGGAGCGAATCGTCCCGCAAGGGGTTACGCGAGTTCGCATTTGCATGCGACGAAAACGCTTGACACCAGTGGATCCAGAGCTGGGCGAGATTCGAGTTGCCGGACTTGATTCTCGGCTCGTCGATCGAATCGGCGGATCCGGCTCGCATACGCAGTACCTCCAATGACGGTCAGCATACGCAGGTCGGAGGGATTCTTCTCCGCCTCTTCACGAGTCCTGGAGAGTGGCCTGATGGAGGAATCCGGTCGGATCTCAGGGAATCGCTGGCGGAGCGCCTCACGTGGCCATTTTGAGGACACTCCGTGCATGAAGTCGAAAGTGAGGAACACGCTATCATGGAACAAAATGCCGGATCATTCATAGTGACATATACACGGTCCCGTCGGCTTCCGAGCGAGCGAGGTTCTCCCACTTAGAGCGGGTGGGCAGACCAGAAGCTGCTCGGATATCATTCCTCTCAGCGATATAAAGATTTCTGCGCGTGGAGTATGTGTCCAATAAATGTGCACACAGTCGGCGAACGGGGACCGGAGGAATGAGTGAGCGGAAGAGAATCGAGCAGAGCAACGTATCGCGTGGCCAGCGAGCAAGCAACGGCAACAAAGCCGGGAAAAGAAACGTTCTTGTTTTAGACGGACGGGGCCGTGAACGCAAAGGAATTCGTGGAATCTTCTTGTACCGCCATCGATGTGGACGGCGGCAACGGCCACGAGGCCTTCTTCATCTCCTCTGCCGCGTTTTCTGTTGCAGCAGCGAGCATACCAGAGAGCCAGTCCGTCACTGACGATCGGGCTTCGGACTTCACGATGATCATGACTTCTGAGTGCCGCCGCCGCCGCCACCGATTCCATCATCAACATCCATCATCATCAAGCGTCATGAGCGTCAGCGCCATTATCACCGTGATGAACAATGCAATGATGAGCGATTATTTACTTCATTGTGGCACTGCATCGAATCGTATTTACTCTCGGATATTACGACTGGGACAATAATCACAACGAGATCGTGCTTCGGACGGTTTCGTGCGAAATTACGATATGTGTTCGCGATCGGTCCGATCGGAACCCATCTGCTTGAGAATGCGAGAAAGGAAACCGACACACTGATATTTGGAGCCCCGTCCTGTGCAAACAGCGGTGCGATCCGCTCCATCATCGATGAATGCCGGGAGGGATGGCGCTCAAAGGCTCATCTAAATCACTTGAGCATGCATCGGGAACGGGAAAGTGTCCTACAGAAATATCGATGACTCTACTACGGATTCAGAGATCAAGTAATTAGTCGATAGCGTGTTCGTTCGAGGATGAGCTCTCTGGCTCTTAATCGGATCACTAAGTTGGTCACGTACGCTGGTTCAACTCGCGCCCAAAACTCTAATCGTGATTGATGTGGGAGGCCAATTTTTTTGGGGCGTGAAACCTCAGTATCCCATTCCATTCCGTGTGTACCCAATAGATGTCCGACTGACGTCGAAAGATGTGTTCTTGATTCATTCAGAGCAGCCCCGTGTACAGAACGGCGGCATGAGGCTTACAAGATACCCCAGCTTTAGAACATCGCTCCCTTGCCCACTACGTCCTTTTGTTGAAGCGCGTTTGCTTCATAGGGGTAGCAACACTCAGTCAGACATGAGCGAATCTCCCCTCCCCACTCCGCCTGGAAATACTAATGCTGAGGGGACCGCGAAGATTATTTTTCTCCCTCTACGATCCGTGAGGGACAAAACCTGGTGCCGCTGTCCCGAATCAACATGATCCCGATTTTCTCAATCAACCGATGTCGGGTTGATTGATTCCCTTCGGAAAATGATCGAGATGACTGAATTGCTCTCCGGAAGTGATTGAATTGACTTGGGTGAACCATAGATCGCCGCTATCGAAAGTCCGGTTGCCGAGGAATGGGGTTGGCTGTGACCCATCGAGGTTCTGAGAATAGCACAATGGCACTGGCTCATTCCGCTTCGATCGAGATCAATTTCGAGGAGGCGTTTGCTCGCCTGAGTCAGCTTGGGCATCGATGAGCCATTCCTGGAGAATTCGACGAATGCTGACAGGCGTGATGCAACTCGAGAGACGTTTTCCGATACTGACGGTAGTATCGTCTTCCTTCATGACACAGGATCGATTAGATCTCAGACAGCTCCGATGGGACCATGATCAGAATGAGGCACAACAGCCGATAGCATACCCTAACGGAGCTCATCGGCTTTGGAGGAAGCTGAGAGCAAGATAAGTACAAAGAGCCTGAAATCATAATTCTCTTGAAAGTTCGGATCTTATCGAGAAGGTGCGGTCCTCGACGCTGCCGGATTGGACCGCCTGCTCGAGGTACCCACTGACCCCAGTGGGATTGAGAATATAGCTCCCATCTGCCCATTCGATCCATCCGTCTTCATGTTTCAACAGTCTGAGAACGAATAGCGGAATTCAGAAATGGAAAGGAAGGAAAAATCGCTCAAAGGGGCGGAACCCGGGAAAACTCAATATAATATTTCCTTAGGTACACACCGTGTTGATCTCCGCAGCGATTCTTCCTGAATCCGCCTGTAGTCACCATTCGAAGAAAGCGAATCGTTGGATGCCGCAGGAGTTCCCGAAGACCGTTTGGCGGGCAGAAAGAGATATCACAGAAAGCGAAGATGTCGAGAATCATCGGTTCTGGAGGAACTCTGACCGACGGGTCATTCCGCGTCATATTGTCATCCTGACGTCAGAGCTAAGAAGGAGAGAATGAGCGTCTATCACCATACGAATTTCATGTTTGGTTTTAGCGGTTTTCCGTTGCTTCGGGTGCTGACGGCGCACCAAAGACTTTCTTCTTTCGTTCTTTCCTCAACTCTCTCGTTTGGCGACATCAGTGGTTTCCCTTTGCCTATTCGTTAGAGGCGAGTCCATTGAGACAGGAGCCGTCCAAAATCCATTCCACGCCGTCCTCAGTGTCGACCGACGCCATGTGGATCCTTGGAATGTTTGCTTGCTTGTGTATCCACTCAGTCACAGTGTGTAAGTTCATTCTCAACAAGTGCAAGACAGTGCCAGAAAATCATTCCGATAGAGTAGGAGAGGCCGGAGTCTCCGGGCTAGGCTTGTTCGATTGAGCTGGTGCCGGCAGAGTATCAGAATAGAATCGATCGGCGCTATAATTTTAATCTCTCATTCTCGGACTTCATAGTTGCTGCACCCCGGGGCCTCACAGCTTGTCCCCGCTACTGGGTTCCAGAGGGCGAAGACTTGAACGGTTGTCCATCACGTTGTTTGAACCAGGCTACCGGCGAGAGGATTTATCTTCTCGTCCGTTATACTCTGAAGGGAGCTCTCCTCAAGGGATGTGTGCAGTGCGAGGTGAGTCAAGCGAGGAATCGATGCCTCCCGATCGGCTTCCGAAGAACGGTCTCGTGAAGAGGGTTGATGGAGATTTTTTTCGTCGATCATTAGTCCAGTGATGTCTTCCCAGGAGCGTTGGATTGAAAATACGGACTGCGTAATGATCCTGTGCCCGGAGAGTGATTTATCATGCTCTCAAGAGGTTGGAACGACGGAAGCAGAACCTTCTCTTCCGCTACTATCCCGTGGAGTAATGGCGGAGAAAACTCGACATCTATCCCTTGAGCTGTTCAATAAATTGTACCCCGCGGAGGTTTTGCGTCAGAATCTTCCTGGAGGAGGCACCATGCGAATATTCATGCCCACACAGCGACCGTATGCACAGTTCCCGCAAGCGCCAGGCTCGACCCCCCAGAATACGACTGATGCATCCCCGGGTACAAGTAGTGCTGAAGTCGTCGTTCTGAACGACTACCCCAGGCCCAACTCCACCGCGGGAACGCCTTCCCGACTCCAGGCTACGCAGTCCGAGCCGATTTCAATCCAAGCCCCGCATGTCGCGGTATCTGCGAATGTCACCAAGCCTCTTTCGGGAAACTCAGGAATAAACCAGACGAAGACCGAAGCCCCCAAAATCGATGACAACAATCTGAAACCCTTCGAGAGCAGTCTAGAGCGTAATCATACTATGTCGGAGACTCCGTCGTCGACGATACCGCCTCCCGCTCCGGCACCGAGAGTCAAGACTCGCTATTCGAACGTTCCCACTCCCAGGACAACAACCCGATGACCTTGAGGAACACGACCCGAGGGCCCTTAGGTGCATAGTCGAAGCAATCTGGAGACAAAACCTGGAGAACATGGAACAACGTCTCGAGTGAGGCTGTCACCCCCTCCGATATTGTTCCCCAGGAATAAAACGGCGGGTTTTGTATTTATTCGATTCAATTCTCGAAAAACGAGGTCTCCTGCGAAGAGCTAATAGATTCCGGAGCGTTTTCGGGCTGATCCACACAGCCAAGGTTTAACGTCCCGGGTACTGTTATTCACATTGCATCCGAGGACGGATCCATAGAGCAAATGTACCCAGGAGGATCAAGGCCGAGTACCTGCGTTTCCGTAAGGAATATTTTTCCGGCAGCAGGGATCGAACCCACACCGCCTCCCGCGCGAGCGGCGTCGTTGCGGCATTTCACGAAGTGAAACGCACGTTTGCACGAGTAGTGACAAACGCGCTACCCACTCGACCACCCGTCGGTTGATACTCTGGAGCTAGAAGGAGATAACATTCCATACCCCGACTCATTACGTGAGACTTATCTGCGCGGAATCTTCATAGAATTCATTCTTCTCTTCTTAATTTATTCACAGCTCCCATGATCGTATACGGTAAATAAATTATCTCTGCCGATGCGAGATCAGACTGAATGAGGTATTTACATAACTAAGTGAGTTCATCCATACGAATGATGATACTCTGAATCAGAGCTCCTTCCTTCGCTTATCTTGGGGGCCAATTCTTGAGTAAAATGAGAGCAAGAATCTCAGAAACATGACCACGGTAAAAAGGTAGGGGGGTTCGTGTAGACTACTCGCGTCAAAAAGCTATCACATTTGCCTCGAGATAGGAATATCGTAGACACGATCCTTACAACGACCTTATGTACATTGCGGGCTTGATTATCTTGAATAAATATTAATTGACTACATCTTCATCAGATCCATGAGTTCCCTCGATATGTTTGCACATTTCTATTATACACACACTTCGGGAGATCGCTGTCAAACCCAGAAACTATCACGGGCCACCTAGACATCTCCTTTTCTCACAACCTATGATTGGCAGTTCCTTCCACGTTTCAGACATGCGACCTGATCTATCGAATGATCGAGGGAGAGGTGTAGCGACTATCCTAAACGCTCTCACTGGGAGTATCATACACAGGTTTGCTCGGTGACCTCCAGGGTCACCACGGAGCTTCATTCGAACGCCCTAATTTCTTCCGGACTATCTAATATCGGTGTCGAGGTCACGAAGACAAGGACCTCGGCTGAGAGCGAGACCTGAAGTAGAAGATCTGTATTTCAATTAGCATGCTGAACACGGTGCAACTTGAGCATGGGGGTATACAAATTATCTGAAGCTCATTCCGATCTGGATGGCAGTCCAGACTCGGGGGACCATTGTCGAATATCTACAGCGATTCCCCGAAACGATTACGGTACCGAGCCAGCGGAGTGTGGGGATCCAGTCTCAAGGCGTAGGAGAGGGGAAGGGGAGCACTTGCGTCACTGAGGCGGAGACAGACTTGGGTGTTAAGGCTACCGCGGTATTTGCTCCTACGATGAAGCTTTTCGAGGCGAGCCATCGGGAATGAGCAGGAAGGGTGGAGGTTGCAGCAGCAGCATGTGAGAAGCAAAGCGACAATCGGTGATCAGTACGTTACCGAGTGGTTCGAATTGTTGTTCATTGTGGTCATTTCGACCTTGTAACTCGGATTATCGTAGGCTGCGGAGTCGGACGCGCCTTTCTGACGCCGCAGCTGGAAATGATTCCAGGCGAAGCCGAACACTGACAGAGCGAAGAGACCTGCGAGAGACGGAAAGGGAGCATGAGAACCGAACATTCGTCGCCCATATTCATCACGTGTTAGGAAATCGCTTCTCCTCCATTCTCGAATGGGGGCGGGGACTCGATGTCGGGGATGGCTCTTACCGAGAACGAGAAGTACCAGGAATACCGTTTGCAGCGTGCTTTTGGCGTGATGCCCTTGATGCGAGGCATCCGACGGGGTTCGGAATTCGAGCATGTTCGACGCTATGGCTTCCCCATTCGTCAGATACGCATCCAACCAAACCTGGGAAGATTAAAAAAGACACAGAATTAGAGAGAGACACTCCGATGACGATCAGTACCGAACGGGTGAATCAATAGGACTTTGGTGAATAATGCATCGTTCACGCGCCGTCAATTCCGAAACTTGACGGACTGCTCTCACTTTGTAGGAGGTAGACGGTCGAAGCCCGTCCAGGAATACTTTGGCTTCATGAAGTTTCTGGAAGCTCTGCTCTCTCTCAGGATTCTGGCTCGACGCATGGGATAATCTCACAACGCTTATGTATTTTGATATCGGTGAAGGGACCCCAAGCAAGAGGATTATGGCAGCCCGTTGCGTGATTCGCTCAGGAGTCAGCGTTATCTGCGTGGAGAAATCAAATTCAATTTTACTCGGGGCGGGCTGTTGTTCTTATTGAAGAATATTCCACTTATCTTCTCCGGAGGACACGTCTTGGCTTCGCCGTCATGAGAGATTTCGAAATCTCCTCGAAACTGCCGTTTGGTCTAACCTTGAACGCGTAAGCGTCGCTTGGTGTCAGAATTTCCGAAGATTTCTCAGATATAACGTGTGCGTTGTCTCTGGTGATGAACTCTAGATTGACCACGTATTTCGTACTCGATTGAACCTTCTCGATTGCATACGAAGTGATGTCTCGGTGGAGAAGCTCGCTCTTCTTCCAAAGAATGAGCGGAGAGCTGTTCGCCTTGCCGTAAACGACGCGTATGCCGTCGACGGACTCTCTCTCGCGAGGCGTCAATGGACGCCACTGGACAATTATGCTCGAATCCCGGAACGTCAACTCGATGTCCATAGCAACTCGGATCAGCGATGGTTGTTCTGAAAGTTCCGAATCGTGGTTCGAACGACCATTCACAATCACCGGAAACACCCACATTTGAATGTCCGGACCGAATGGGAAGCTTACCAGTCGGAGTTTCGACGGACAGCGTCGGACTCTTGATGCTTTCGAGCATTCCGACGACGTGCACGATGATCTGGAGGGCATACTTGGATTTGGGTTGTAGACCCGACACATCGAACTGGAGGTTCGCGTTATCGAAAGTTTTTCCGGAACCCCTCGTGAACCTCCGGCTCTCCCACTCATCGCGATCTTTGTCGAGCTCTGTAGAGAAGCGAATCTCTACGTCGCCTTCCTGGCCGAGGAGCATCTTGGGTAAGGAGAAATGAACCCGAGCCGTCGTAGAGTTCAGGGCCGTTACTTGAACGCTCCTCAAACGTGAGTCCGCATCTTTGCACATCCAGTGCGTGCAGCAGGTATCACCGGGCAGATGTCCGCGATACGCGAGAGATACCGGGCATGGCAGAGTCGGAGGGGGAGAGCTGTTGGGGGGTGGACATCGGTCCTCGCACTGAACGGATCCTCCCACGCAGACGCATCTCTGGTCGCAACGCTCGACGAGCTCTTGTGGGATCTGCTGGAAATTCCGATATTTCTGTCCTTTGAAGGTGCATGACCTATCTGCGAAGGAAGCACACCGAGATTTTAGACGAGGCTCTAGGACAATCGACCAGTCCTAACGTGCGAATGCACAAATGCATCTTGGAGTCGAGGGAAGCGAATTGAATCGAGTGCAAAAGGAAAATGCAGGAAATACTTACCACTCTTGCATTTGATCGGAGGGCAGCAGTTGGGTGCTTTCGGTATGAAATCGACGTCGATGATCTCGAACTCGGAACAGTCCCCAATGTGCGCTTTGCAGTCGATTGGTCGACAAATGGGTTTGCCGTTTACTTGGCAGATGCACTGCTCGTGGCAGTCCTTGAAGAATGTTTCTCCGACCTGAGAATATCGTGATTCTTCGATGTTTACACAAATTCGTTTGTGTAGTGAGACAGAAATCCTGTCCGAGAGTAGATACTTCAATATACCGTGAAATCGCTCATACCTTGTACTGATGGCCGAGATCGTCGCTGCACGAAACATTGAAATCGGGGAAACCCAGCTGACGGTCTGGTCCACTAATTGTCTTACCACAGGACGGGACCTTACAGCAGGCGTCGTCGGGCGACTCTATCCAATCGCAATGCTCGTACCCAATGACATCCACGTATGTCTGCGGAAAATCGGAGAGCCGCGATGAAGGAAAGCTATCGATGCACGACGGAAACCAACTCAATAGACGGGCGGAAAATTGACTTTTCATATGAGGCAAACTCAACTTACCTCACATCTTCCCTGACATTCGACAATGCCATCTTTCTCGCAGATGCATTTCTGCTCACAGCCTATATTGAAGGTTTCGCCGATTGCATGCGTTCGATTATTGTGCAAGCAGAACTCGACCACGTGACTAACAGGTCTGCGCAAGGTTCGCACTCTGGCGGTGTTGCTTTCCATTTTACCCACAACCACTTTCATCAGGTAGGCAGTATCGCTCTCGAGTCCCGTCACGTCCAGAATGTAACCAGATGAGGGAATCATCTGAAATCGAAACAAAGCAATTGGTCTAATGCTTCGACGGGCACCGAACGAGGGCGAGCACATGCTGAGTGTTCATGGGTGCGACAAAGTTTTCGGTCGCTTCGGTGGCAGACAGACCTTGTATTTGCGTTTGATCCACGATAACGAATCTTGACGAGTAAACCAGACTTGGGCGTTCGATGGCGGATCCCCGTAGCGCACGATGAAGCCCAGGAGAACCTGCGTGGAGTTGAGGACTTTGGCCTGTTCCAGGACCACTTGAAGACCTAGCGAGTTAAAGGTCATTAATTGTCATCGAGGCTTCCGACTAAAAATCGGATGAGGAAAACCAAGACCGAGCCCCTTGTCGAGGTCTCATCGATTGAGATTATGGGCCCGGCCGCGGGACGCCGAAACGGGAGGTCACTCACTTGAAGAGTCGCTCAGAGGCGGCTCTCCTTTGATTTCGGAGCAGCTCGGTATATTACAGCATTGGTCCCTGGGATGCACAAGGAGTCTACAAGTGTCATCGAGATCTCCAAGGTCGTGAGCGCATCGAGGAGTGCAGAACACAGAAGTGCTGGCGGCACAAACACATTTGCTCTCGCAGTCGTGGTCGAATTCCTCGTTGACATGGTATCGTCGTCCTGCAAATTTAGCATTGTGAGCCTGCGCAATCAAAGTGCCGGCGCCGCGTCGAACAGGGAAAATGGGGGAAATAGGGAAAAATAGTTCAGCGTTTTCGCGGCGATGAGACTAGGCCGTGGCAAAGATCGCGATTGCGTTAAAATTGAGTTTTTTGTAGATTCTCACCGTTGAACTCGCAGCCGTCGAATTCTGAGAGCGCTGACGTGGAGTTCTTCTCGCAAGCGAGAATCTGGCAACATGAATCTTTCGGATCGGCGATCAGATGACATTCGGTCGGTATCCTCGAGGGAGGTTTCGGACATCTCTCGCTACATTCGACTTCGAAACTGTCGGTGCAATGGCACCGGAAGCTGCATTCGTCGTCAAATTCCTCTCCGACCGGATACCGCCTGGGAAATGCGGGGATCGATGGTGAGCCCAAAAGACGGTTGAATCCAATCTGAACTCGAAAAAGGCTCTGTCTTGGCTCTTGCTGTTGACCAACGATTATTATCCAAACGACCTACTTGTTCTTGTAGGAACAAACACCTGGATCCACGGGTGCGATGTTCGACGCGAACGAATTGCATCCCAACCGCAAATCATTCGGATTGCCGGAGAAGCCTTTGAGACACTCACAGGACGCTTTCTCCCCACTGAGGAGACAGAACGAATTCGGCCCACAAGATAGTTTTGAGCATTGGTCGTCGGAGTCCTCGCTCAGGGGCTTCGCGCATGTTGATCGACCGCAAACCTCGCTGTGACAGCATTTCTCGTCTCCCCTACAATCGAAGTCGGTCTCACACTCGAGAGCACACGTGGTCAGCTGGAAATCGAATTCGGAACCTGATGATTTATACGTCTGGAAGGTTTGGACGCTCAGCACATCTAAGTCGAATTCCATCATCGTGAAAAGTGTCGGAGAAAGATATCGAAGCTCAATTCGTAGCCCGAAGCGCTTACGTTACGATCGGCTGAAGGACATCTGCCAGGTTTTCCGTGCTCGCAATGGACGCTCACGCAGCAGCTGTCGTTTTTCGACGGAACCTGATGACACGGGGTGACAGACGCAGCCGGAGCGGCGTCTCTCACGAAGGGTGAAGCACACCGGGGTTCGCAATCGCCCTGGTCGTTCCCCCGACACACGCATCGAAGGTCGCAACCTTCGAAGAACGTTTCGCCCACGAGATAGTCCTTCCCCAGCCGAACGCATCCGTCTGTTTTATGCAAAGGGAAAATACTCGCGTGAGTTAGGACAGGACGAAAATCAGGACGAAGTGAAAACTCTCCTGGAACCCTTATTCTTTGGCGGCACTCTGGAGCCGTCTCAACGTCAGCGTATGACCATAATGTTCGCGAGCGTTCTCGGCATATATCGCCGGGGATGGGAGTACATACCCTCAGTGAATTTCGATATCGCCTCCGTTGTGACACCTTGAGAGTTCCTCACCCGGAATGAGTATTCAGTTCCCGGTCGGAGATTATTCACCGTTCCGAAACTAGCCGAGACCTTGACCACGTTCCAAGAATCGAATGCCCCCGCATCGCTCGTACGAGACTCTATTTTATAGCTGCGAAGGAGGAAATCAGGAGTCATTAACCGCACGGTCCCTGGGACAATTCCGGGGGGACACGGGTCTTCATAATATTCAATACATTGTAGGTCTCAGGCATCGTTGGACACTCATAGGGTCCATCTGATCAGTGCGCCGATGAATGAGGGGGGATCAAGCACCTTTCAGAAGAATCGAAGTCATCCCAAGCGAGCGTGACGGAGCTCGCGGACCGTCGTAACATTCTTAGCTGAGGTCGAATCGATTGCGACTTTTCCAATGTGCGGAACATGGTGATTTCCTGTGAGCGAGCCAGGCCGAAAAGATGTGAGCTTTGAGTTCATCGAGAATTTGAGGGCAAATATGAGAATTCAGGCTAGCCGTTGGAGTCAGCGGACTCATTACCGAGTTGCCATCTTGGATCACTTTGATGACGTAATCGTGTTGCGGCTTGAGATTCCTTAAGTCGGCGGAATTCCCATCGTCGTTCACATGAGCACCATTCCATTGCGTATCGGCTCCGTCGTACTCGACACTTCGGAAGAGAGGAAAAGTGTTAAAGCGAGTCATATCAACAAGTCAGCATCGTAAAAACGATTCTGGCTCGAGACGGACAAATTTCGGAAGGCGCTCTGATCATTGGAGAGCCGAGGCGAGCATTTGTTACAAAGGTCCCTCGGTTTGTTTACCGAATGAGGAAACGTTGTTTCACGGAACGATCATAAATCGTCTCAAGTGATAGAAATCGCCCTTTTTCGTAGAATACTTTCGATTTCTCTCGAGCATCTATTCAAAGAGAGCCAATGATCTATGCACTCACCTGTAGAATATGCCGGGCGGTGGGACAGTTTTCTTACGGAGTTTCCATCGGATCTGCGCCGATCTAGCGGTGATATTCGAAATGGCGATCCGGAGCTTTCCTGGAAGAATGGAAAGACTCATAAATTAAAGCCCCACCTCGATTGATTGAGGAGCGCCTTCTCCTCTTTCTCGATTTCGGAAGAAGTTTATTCTTCTTCAATCGAGAAAATTCTGACTGCCTGAGAGGAGTAGCCTTTCTGGAGCACCCTGCGGTTTCCTCGAACTGGATGATCTCCGGATAAATAATGGAAGCCATCGCCAACTGAGAGAGAAACTGTTCTGCCGTCAATCGTCTCCCGCCTGGACACAGCCGATCACCCACCGGGAAAACACCGGGACGACTACGATTCCTCCTCGCTCGCGACACCCAGCTGAAGAGCTGCTTCTGAGGAGAACCTCGACGCGATCGCAGAACGCCGAACCGAGAAAGTTCTGATTCACTTCCTGCGACTGTATGTTAAACAGCTAAAGCAAGCGAACAGACGGTTTCCAATGCTTCGAATTCTGCCAGCATGTGAATCGTCGAACCAGGTCGAGAATGGGCAGTATCCTCTTCAATCTTATCAAATCAGAGACCGATCTAGGAGAATTGGGTCCGAGGCAATGGTCTGAGAGAAAATATAATGTCTGAGCTGTCCGAAATCCCATTCGCTCCGTCCTCGTCTTCCTGAGAGTCATCGAATTTTGAGGAAAAGTTCGACGCTTGAAAACCCCTGTCCGGAAGGAAAATCATCCGGTCGACCTCGGGAAGGAAGATCGAGATACAAACTACATATATAGATGACGGGGAAACTTCCCGAGTGCGATGCACGGTTGAATAGGCTCATGAATTAGGCCTTCAAACGAAAATCCGCCGACGCCCGTCCGTACTCCGATGACCATACGGCTAGCGATAGGACGGATGACATACGGCTCCCATGCTGGCGATGGCCCCGTCAATTGGTTACTTTATAGCGAACCGAAGCAAAATGAACCGGGACTCACTTCCGTCTACAGCGGCGCACCGTAATCGCAAAAAAAACGAGCCGGCGTTCCATGGAGCCGTGCCTATACACTGCGTTTGCCGTTCGCGACGCTCGCGACTCCGCTTTTTAGGTTTTCTGCTGGCCGCGCAACAACCGGTGGCCAACTGACTGTGGGGAGAAGTGAAACCGGCGGCTCGATGCTGCTGACGACCACCGTGAATGATTTTTCAGACTTCCAAGGAGCTCAGCCGGCCATATATGATCGGATCCATCTAAGGATTTATCCTGCAAGGATTTTCCGACTTCCCGAAATATCTGGTCGGAAGTCCCGAGACAATTCCAGTTAAAAAGAAAAGAAAGTTTCCGGAGATACATTATCGACGACTCTTCCCTGCATTTTCCATAGCAGAATCCAAGGAGGTGTGCACGATGCTTTTTTTTTGTTTCACGTGCTCTCTCGCTCGAATTATCTGCGAAAGCTCTTTCACTCCGGCAAGCCGCGCTTCTTTAACAATGATGTTCAAGCCCTCGCCCGTGTGGGCAACACCATCGGCATCCACTTGGCTTGTCTATTCGAAAAAGTTGTTCTTTATTCGTAGCAGGATTCTCGTGAAGCCTCGACGTGTCCATCGGCTCTGGACGGTCCTCCTTGGGGGCTAAAAAGCCGGATCTTCGGATGCCCCGTAGGAATAGTCGAACTGAAGGTCAAAGGCCATATCGACGGCTCCGTTGAGAGTCAGAGGTCTTCACATGGAGACTTCAAAAGGACATGGGAGATGTAAAAACCGAAGATCACGAGCGTCCCCATGTTCGTTGTTATAGGCAGCGTTTCTTGCGCTATTTTGTTCTGATGAGTTCTTGGTAAACGCTGGGTGTGCGTATTCTTCCTTCCCAACCGATATTTTCGAGACTTGAATTTCGGAGTCATCGTTTGTCCCTTTAGTCACAAATATTTCAACTTCCTTCTCGGCTTGATTGAAAAAAAATGCCAGAGAAAACGTAGCCATTTTTTGTTCTCCTCGAGCGTCAAACCTTCACATGCAGTACGGCGACTAGAAATCTGACTCATTATCCCATCGTTTTCTAATTCTCTCGCGAGCAGAGTGGGCGCGTTTCTAGGTCGGCTAGATGGAGCCGGGAATGGACGGTCGGAGATCCGATTAATCTTTTTCGGGCCCGGGGATCGCGTACGCGTGCACTGACTTCATCTTGTGAGCCCATATCCGACTTTTACTGTATTCGTTTCTGCCCTGAATTCAAATTCGTGAAAATTCTCCGCAGCTCCGCGAAGCGGGCCACATTGTATCACCCGATCTCAAATGGAGACGAGCGATAAATACACAGAGTTGTCCGGGATCGCTTTGCTCGGGATAGGAGTGCGCCTTGATGGCGGCGAATACTCCGTCTTGAAAGGATCTTCTCCTCAATCTAGGTGACATCATGGAAACCCTGACGAACTCAGAACCGGATTAGATTCGTCATTCATGTTTCTCTACTCCACGGGAACGGTAGGATCGGATGACTACCAAATCTCGAGAGGACCCCCTTATCACGGACGACCGAAGAAGAGTCAAAAACGACGTCTCAATCAGAATCGTATGAGCGACGGGCCGGAGAGCATCACCGACGCACCGCAACGCCGGAAACACTACAGGAACATGTATTCGTCCGAATAAAAGGTCAAGTCCTCATCGAAGGCGTTGCAGTTACCAGAAGGACTGGTAGCCGAGGTAAAATGCCGAGAAAATGTTTATCTTCAGAAAATCAAGAGGTTTCTCGCTTTCGATAGGAGACATCTTGTTTTTGACAGCCCAGCAGGCAAGCGACAAGGGTCAGCTTCTGTGGCCTGTGGTCGATGGGTTTCCTCGAAGCTCCAACCCTCGACTCTCGGCGTATCTGCTTGAGCGATCGATCCATGTTCGCGACATCTGATTTTCCAGAAAGGAGTGTGCATATCTCAATCCATGGACACTTAAACGAATCACACACGATTCCACCGGAGACATGGATAGTTCGATGCTTCGCGAATTTGCCTTCATTCCATAATATCCTTGTACATAGATCGCAAGGCAACATACTTCTTCGGTGATTTCGCTCCAGCCTACCGAGGGGCATCTCTTGAACTTCATCGGCATTTCCTTCATTAGCGCACTAATGAGGCTTTTGTGTTATTTGATTAAGAATAATTCCTGACGTTCCACACGGGAGAAAAGGTCGACCACCTCGGGAGTTTGTTTCTCTGTTTTTCTGGACATACGACGATGATCTATCCACGACTTCGAGACGAGTGTATGGTTCACCGGCAGACGAGTTGATTCGTGCGGGAAAATACGTTCTTTGAATACGGGAAAGCGCCTTACTGCGCATCGAAACCGTGGGCGCTTTCTCGACGCGAATACATGGTCGGACGAAACTACGTTTTGTCGGCCGAAGAAGCTCCGCATTATCGGCCACGAACGTGAAGATCATCCGTCACGATGAGTCACTCAGCCCCCTCCGGAAGATCTGAAGAGCTGATGGATCCATAAAGCATCATGGCACCTCACCTGAGCGGAACCCGAAATGCCAGAGCTGAATTCCGCGGGGGAGATGGCTTCTCCTGAAATCCAACCAGACAGATTCCCTTCTACGTACATACTGTAGTTTACCGCTCGCATCCCCGGTTTTAATGTCGCGATTGATATTCAGAGACTTCTGAGGCTCGAATCGGAGGGAAGGTGCGTCTTCGTCGTCGCCATGGGATTTCTCATTCGAGTCCGCCACTCTATCATGAGGCGAGAAGTTATCCGGACTCATTATTTGTCCGAAATGCGTTCCCGTACATCTCCCTCTCTCAACGTCTTGTGCGGTTTCCCGCGTCGAGCTCCTCACAAATAAGACTGTCGTCACTGTCGAATATCTTCATCGGTGAAACTTTTTGAAAACAACGCATCGTTTTTTTTCTACTTATTCTTCGGCTCGTTCTGACGGGACCGCATAGCGCAGGGTTGACAGTTGCCGTGATCACGACTCACCCCCGCTTGCCCGAGCTCAGCTAGCGGCCATTCTGGCGATTCTGTATGTTCCGCGACGGAGCGACCCAGCGGCCGTCTGCCCGCCTTATCGAATAGTCTGGGAAAGCGAAACATCTTGTTGGCCTTCGGTCTTCAGTTCGTTTGTTCGTGAGCTCTTCTTCTCGGAATCGTGATCTTTGGAGGCCCCTTACTTCAACGCGTGACCCGAGCATATTGTAGACAACCGGAGTAGCCCGCGTAACCTGCGTAGTGAGCCCCAGCGCAAAAATTCGTATATCACTTACTCGGCGGAATGAGGAACGTTGGCCCTCCTCTCGGTGCTGCAAACGAACACCGGCTCTCGAGGAGAACTCGGAGATTCTGGAACACTCTTCCTCATCTCAACGAATCGAGCGATGCTCACAGCAAGCATGTCTTCGTCATTATCGATGCAAGCAGCCTTCGCGCTTGCTCGTGATCATTCGCGACTCTGATGGGTAGCAATTTCTTTCTCGCTTCCGGTCGGAACCGCATCGAAAGTTTAGAAGCGAGGTGAGAGCCCACACTCTTATCGGTGGAATCCATTTTCGGCTACTACGCTTATCAGACTCGTGCGAGAAGGTGGATGCCCCGGGCCAAGGCGTATGCGAAGCTCCCCAAAGCAGAGAACAGATTTTCTGTCCGCCGAGGATCGAAGAAGCATGTTCTGCCTTCAGGAAGCTGCGTATCCGGCTATCTGCTCATCTAGATGGATACTGAATTTTTCAGCTGCCAATGACTTTTGTCACAAGCGGTACTGAGTGATTCACCATTGATGAGGCCACAAATGGCGTCGAATCACCTCTTTGCGCATTTTCTTGACTCTCGACTATTTCGCAGAGAGCTGATAGCATTCGTGTTCCGGGGAGCATATGCTCTAGTCACCACAACTCATCTCGCTCAATCTATCTCAATTCCCTGGTGCAAGAGTTCGAATGCCAGAGCGAGCTTTGTCGTGGCTCTTGATATGAAGTTCTTGTCGTTCGTCGGTCGAAAGCTGCGCTCTGTCCCCGTATCCCTAATCTCCTTTGCGACGGAAGTACGCGCGCTGCTTCCAGCGAC